GATCAAATGACGGCCTACAAAGAAGAGATTGAAAGAAACGTGAAGAGGATGAAAGAGTTGGACGCTACGATCGCGAAGAAGATTCGAGAGGCGGCCGGTCTCGAAGACGAGATCGCCGTCCTCAAAGAAGGGAAGGAACGGGACGGACGGAAGATAAAAGGATTGGGGGTGCAGCTCGCTAACAAGGGACGCGAGGCGACCGCTCTCAAAGACGAGATGGCCGCATTACAAACGGACCTCTCGAGAGCGCGCGAAGAATGCGCGGACGACCGGAGTTCCGAACTTTCCGTCCTTTTAGAAAAGACGAAAGACGAACTGCGACGGACGTCCCGCGATCTGGCGGCCGCCAAGGAAACCGAGATCAGGCTTAAGGCGAACCACGAAAAAATCGAAAAAGGATCCCGCAGTGGAAAGAATGGGTCGAAGAATTGAAGAAGGCACGCGACGAATTTCACGAATCCCACGTCAAGGAACTCGGATCGCTTCGAGACGATCTCGAGAGGGAGAAATCGGACGCTGAAACGAAACTTGCAACGGCGAAGGCGAGCCACTCGGACGAGATTGAAAATCTTCAAACGCAGATATCTTTCCTCAAAGAAAAGGAATCGAAACTGAGAAGAGACACAGGTAAGTTGCATGCGGCCCTAAAGGAACGGGAAGAGAAGCTAAACTGGAATCCGATAAGATTTCGCGATCGGCCGAAGCGGAAGAGGCTCTTGACGAGTGCGCGTCCCTCTCAGAGAAACTGAGGCTCGCGACCGATTCCGAACGTCGGTCGAAGGAGGACCTTGATAGGTGGCAAGCCGAGAAGAGGTCGTGGCAAGCGACGGCCGAACGACGTTCGGCAGATCTCGACAATCTTCGCGACCTGCTGAAGACGTCCGAGAGAGAACGCGCCAATCTTGAGTCCCAACTTTCGAACGTTGACAAGAATGTAACGGATTCGAAAGAAACGGATTCGTTGAAGCGGGAGCTGGAAAGACATCGACAGGAGGTCCGACAACTCGAACGACTTCTGAGCGACGAAAAGAGGGAGAAGTCGGGTGAATGCAACGATAGAATGATTTCGGTAAAGTAAAGAACTCAAAACGGTCATCGACGCGCGCGATAGACTGGTGAAAGAGAACACGGAAATGGAAAAGAGGCTATCGGAATCGGAAAAAAGTCTTTCGAATTTGTACGACGAATCGATGAAAAGGTTGTCCACCTCGAAGAATCCATGTTTTCGAAGAACAAGGAAGCGGACGAATTGAGATCAGATTTGACGAAAACGAAGATGGAGATGGACGAGATCAAAAGACAACTCAACTTTGCGAATAACAAAGTGGCGGAGGCGTATTCTGAAGTGACTCGAATCGTCGAGAACTCGGAAGACGGCCGATCGCACGAGGAATGTCGAGAACTTCTCACACGACGCCTCGATGAAGTGGAACGTTCGTTGGAAAAGGAAAGAATGAAGGCAGCCGATTGTGCGCAAATGAACAAAGAATTAATGCGACATATATCCTATCTGACGAACGAAATAGAAACAGTAAATTACGGCCGAAGTGTCGAGGTAAGCAAATTGCGCCGATTACTGAACGATTGCAGAAGCGAAGGGTCTCAACGACAACGTTGGGAACCTCCCGGTCGCCGTAACGTCGGTCCCAGCTACAACGTCGTCGAAGACGCATGTTCCGGAAGTTCTGCGTGCGAATCCGAAGAGGAAGTGGACGACGACATTAGCGAAGACGTCCTCGTCGGCAACCCCGAAGAGAACGAAAACCCCCGTCCCATCCCGTTCGTCGTGGACTACCGACCGAGCTCCACCGCCTACGGAGGGTTGATCGGAGAGGACGAATGTTCGTTTCATCAGCTTCTGAACCAAGCAAGACGGTTCGTCGAGTCCGAGGACGAAGTACCGGAGGCGGCCAAAGGGTTGTCCGACAGGTACGGTTCGACGGCCTTCGCACCGACTGTGGTTTACGCTGATCCGCCCACGCCGGCAACCAGATCTCTCGCGAGGTTGATAGCGTTCATGGGAAAGATTCCCGGCGTGACGCTGCTGAAACCGAGCGAGTGCACGGTTCCCATCTGCTTCCTTTCGAGGAACGACCACGCCGGGTTCGCCGGAAGGGGAGACGCGCGCTACGTGCTTTTCGACGACGACGCCGAAAGCATTAAGTGGACGGACACGGATACGCTCGTCCATTTGGCCGAGAGGATACTGGATCGCAATCTCGGACACGATCCCGGCGCGGTGATAGTGGAAGATGTTCGACGACATTGACGGCCCGGCAACCAGTTCCGACAACTTCCTGCTTCTCATAAGCATCCTGCTTGCCGACATCGTACCTAACTGCGAAGAACGCAAGCGAGAGAGACGCGAACTCGTCACTTCCGTTTTCTGAATGTCTTTCGAAATGTGGAGGAATCTCGAAGTGCGCGTGCGAAGAAAATGGTAGAGGTGGGCACGAGAGAAGAGGGCGATCGACGCCGACCGCCGTCTAGAATTATTCGAGGATGGTGAGCAGGAGGATGAGGACGACGAAGACGAAGACGATTCGTTGGAGGAGTTGTCTGTGGATCTGCAACGACGGTTGGAAGCTGCGTGCGGAAGCGGCACAGACGACGACGTCGTTCCCTTTTACGCAAGATGCTTAGTTCTAGCGGAGAACCTTCTGCGAGGGACGGATTCGGTCACGACGGAGTGCTGCACCATGACCGACTTCGACGCCGTGCTCGCGCGACACGTGCTGTTCCCTGGGACGAGCGAGCATTCGACGGTGATATCGAGGCGCCTGTTAGCACTCTGGAGGGTCGTGGTCGTCGTGGGCACCGTACCGGCGTTGCCCATCGGTTGTTGTCCGAACGTCGGATACCGGTGTTTCGTATGCAGGAAGGAGCAGACGGACGAGGAGTGCCACCATCTCGTCACGACGATCGCGAACGAAGTTACGGAAGACGAGGAGGATATCTGCCGCGGTGCGCCTCCAGTATTCCTGCGTCTCGACACTCGCCAGTCGACGAGACCGGAAGTCGCCGAGAAGGACGAATTCGAGATCGCGAGACGCGTCGACAGGCGTGCGAGATCGGCCGCCGACAAGCTGAGGGTGGAGATCGAAAAGGAGATAAGGTACGCAGAAGCGTGCGTCCGATACGCCTCCCTTCCAAAGACCATTAGTCTCGGTTGCATAGCGCACGTCGCGAAGCTCGTCTCGTTCGGAAAGCGCAGACGGCAGTTGGCGTACGAGAAACGAGAGACGTTCGACCACAGGGATCTGGAAAGGTGGTCCCGAAATCTGCTGGAGTCGATGTTGGCCAATCCGGACAGGCGCGATCAGAGACGGGCCGCGATGGCCTCGTTCTTCCGTTTGGTGGTTGATCCGACCTCGGTGGTGAGGGACGCGTCGACGACGAGACACGAGACCGCCTTCCGAACATGGATGGAAGCGTGCGAAGTGCCCGCCGAGAGCGTTTGCGATTACGTCGACGGACTGAAGGGCGTGACTCTGAAGACGAACGTCGAAGACGACCTGACTGGCCTGTACAAATGTCTACTCACCTGGCACGTGTTCCTAGCCATGCCCGTTTCGGGGGGAGGCGGCTCCTCTCGCATCATCAACAGGTGCGACGTGGACGGTATGCCGGACACGGACGGTCTCTGCTTTTTGTACGACGACCGTCGCTTTCTGGTAAGGAGAGGGGACCGAACGATGACGTTCGTTTACGAGCGAGCGCTCGAATCGTGCGTGGCTTGGATCTACCACGGACCGTTACCGATGTCGTCCTCTACTGTAACGAACGTGCTGTTCCACGCTGGTTTCGACGACGATCGACATGAGATAGGCGAACAGGAGGGCGAGACGCGCCGACATCTGCGACACGACCAGGTTTTGGATCCGATCATGACGGTCACGCGAACTAGCATCTCGGTCGCGAAGAGCAGCTTGCCCTGTCCGTCGTAATATCGGTTCAGAAATATGCCGATGGTATTTCTTAGATTGCAGTAGAAGGTTATCGCGAAAAGTACAAGATTCGCAGAAAGCAGATCCCGATACTTTCTTATCTGCTTGTCGTACGTATCCCCCAGCCAGTCGTACCGATCGAACAGACCGTAGAGAACGAACAGGAAGATTAGGAGCGCCGCGATGAGCGGAGCGAACTTCTTCATCCTTTAACGAATGCTTACAAAAACCGACACCCGATAGTTCGATCGATCATACGCAAACATGTTCGGGAAAAAAAGAGACGATCGTTTCGAGTATAAGAGAGTGGAATCGATGCGCAACGTGGCTTCCATGGAACAGAGGTTCGAGGAGAAGGCCGCGGCCGCTCGACGGAGCGTGGAAGCCGGGGTGAAGAACGGTGCCGGACCCCGAAAGTTGGCGTCCCTCATCAGACGCGCGTCGGATTACGAGCGTCTGCAATCGACTTCCCAGAAGGCGATTTACGATCTAGAGAAGGACGCCCTGTCTTCAGAAATGCGAAACATAGACGGTCTGCAGTACGAAAGGTTGAAACGAGAAGATCACGAACTCGGAAAATTCGAGAGGCTCACCAATCCCCGCAAACTATGCAGACGTATAGCGGCCGTGAAGGTCAGGAGGGACCGTCGCAAAGTGGGAGTGGAATCTATAAGGGATTTACTAGACTCGGAATCGGACGACGGAGACGAGGACGACGACGAACACTCGCCCGAGATGCAACTCGCCAAAGACCTCATCGACGACGACGTCTGGCAAAAGGTGACCGAACTGCCGGAACCGTGTACAAGAAAAAAAGACGATCACTTTTCTTTGCAATAATTAAAATTTTTAAAGGAAAGAGAGAAATAAAAGAACGAGAAAAAAAACTTTTGTGTTTTCAATTCATTATTTTATTTTTATTGATCATCAGCAAGTTCGCACGAGGCGCAAGCATCGCGCGAGGTGATGGCGCCGCACCTGCAAGAACGCATCATAGCCAAGTCTGGTTGCTTGACTGTCAGCCGGACTCCGGCACCGTCGAGGGCCAAGGTCGCCAACCTTCTCGAGTGGCAGTTGTAGCACGCAGGCTCCAGCGTGTTTTCGTCGATGTACATACCTTTGGTCGGAGGGCGGTTCTTGAGGTCGACGTACGTGAGAACTATGTAGCAGTATCTGCATATGACGATGGACTCGGAACCGCTTCCAGGTTCGTACGTCTGATCGTACGCGTACTGCACCTGGGCGCACTTCTCTGCACGAACAGAACGCTCTACATCTCCGACGCCTCCTCCTCGCTCAAAAGAGAAAGGGCATTGGTCACTCGGGACGGTAGAAACCTGCGTTCGCGAACGTCGTTCAGCATGAGGACGCACGCGACAAGACCGGCTGATCTGTCCGGCAGGACGAACAAGAGGTTGAACGGCCAGTTGGTTCGCGTGAACTCCAACACCCTCTTAAGCATCGGATGTAACGGTTTGGTCTTGACACTGTTCAGATGCGCCAGTACCACTCTGATGATGGCCGACTCGTGCACCCTGTCGGTCTTCGGGACGACGTGGTTGGACGTTTTCCGTTCGTCCCGATCGGATCTCAGCCATCTGCGAATCTGGTCCAGGTTGGCAACGGCCGCCGCGATTTTGCTGTGGTGCGGAAGAAGGAGGGTGTCGTAGAAGTACCGGACGAACGCCTTCTTGCGCCGATCGTCGGTTTCCTCCTCCCTTTCCTCGTCGTCTTCGACTTCGTCGGCAAGAAACCCTCCGAGCGCGACGGCCGCTTAGAACTGCATTTTCTCTTCCTCGCTGCACCTCGCCCACTTTGTCCTGTGCGAACTCTTGGAAGTCGTGCCCAAACAAGAGCTGACGAATTCCACGAGTCTTGAACGATCGTCGCCTTCGCTGTGCGCCTTGAACATGTACGCGAGACCTGAGGCGAAAGCCGGGAACGCCGTTTCGCGCGACATGGTCGGGAATGAGCGCTGCCGGGGTTTTGCCAAAAGATATGTACGCACGCTAAGAAAACAAATATAAAATCACTCACGTTCGCAGTGTTTGGTTTGCTCCTGAAGTTTGCGGTTGCGCCCGATCTCTGCGTCACCTTCACGCCGTCCGGGACGCCCTGGAACGAAATTCCG